AGTTCCCTGTTTATTTCCATCTGATCCAATTATATAAATAAAGAAGACCACAAGTCTTTCTTCCCTTCTTGGAACAGTTCTGTCACAAAGCAACACCGTCCTCTCTGCTGATGCTAAGTCAAACCCCTGGTTAGTTAGCACCACAGAGGTGAAGGTAATGAACTGGAAAGGGGCTACAGTTAACTAAGAGCTCTATCCGCCATGGTCAATGGCCCAGACATCCTCTCTCCTGCTGTGTCCTAGAACAGCATGATAAGGGCCATAATTAGGAAGGTAGATGGGTATAGTATGCGCCACAGATTGTAAGAACTAATGGACTCACTAAACTGACCCATTAACAGGCTTTCTGAGGGCTGCTGTCAGTGATGCAGTATGGCAAGAAAAAATTATTTCCTTCTTATATAACATTATGTTTATCCGATGTGAGGAGCAAAGTGGATTCTTTACAGTTACCGCATGTTGACTGTTTTATCTGTGGCAGCTTAAGATACAATGAGACAAATGGCGTCTTTTTTTTTTTAACTATGTAATTAATCTTCATGAGGTGGTGGAGTAAAAAATGAACCACAAAGATACTGAGACAATAAAATTAAATTTGATTGCACTAAACACTATGTCTATCATGCGTGTTTGTGCATTGGGGAACTGATGTTGTCATTCTTTCCAAAGACGAATTTTCTAGCATTCAGGAAGCTACTGCAGTATTTTTATCTTGTTCCTTGTAATAATTCAGCCAACTGCCAACTGGTTTTCTAGAAACTCATTTCCATATTAAATATATTCAAGTCTGAGGTGCCTGCAGTGCAACATCCTAGGTATATAGTGTGTATGGCAGCTTTCCTGCAGAGAGCCAGTTGGGTGTGGGTTCAGTGTCAAATGATTTCTCTCTTGCATTAAAATATGGTTTAAAGCTACTATGTTGTAAGGCAGAATATGAAACTTTTGAGGCATATTCAAATCTGTCAGCAGTAGTGTGATGCATAGTTGCAAAGAAAGCTTTATATACGTCAGAAAAAGTACACATATGACAACAAAAGATGTGACATGAAACATTAGAACTGGATCGATCTTGAATAAGAACACAAATTACTTTTCCCACACTGTTGCTCACCACGGGCCAAACCAACAAACATTGAACCAACACAGCCCCCTCAGAGGGTAAAACACAGACCCAAAAAGAATAAAAGCCTCACACTTTACATCTGACACAACCATTTAGTGTAAACAAAGGTGGGTAAATTAAGCAGTTCCTACTCAAATCACCCACCAGTATATACAGTATATAGAGAGATATGTCACCTTAACCCAGTAAACTAGCATAATAAGAACAGAATAGAACTGTGAAAAAAACAATAGGGACAGTGGACGAGAGGGACAGTTGGAAGAACTAGTGACAGGCCTGTGACAAAAATAATTTAAATAAAGAACCAGACAGATATATTAGTCCATGAGCAGTAGCCACGGTTGAGGCACAGCAGCAGTGAGTCTGCTGGTTGATGTAAAATGGCTGTTTACTGAGGCAAGAGAGGGCAAAGGGAAAGCAATGGGGAGCACTTTGGCCTGCAATCATGGTGGCTGCTAGAGCTTTTAAGAGCCTGAATGGGGGGTAGCGTAACTTCATTAGTGTCCCTGTGCAGCAGTGAGAGCAGGTGGGGAGCACTGAGGGACTCGAGGGAGGAGGGACGATCCCATCTGCAGCCAAACAAGCAATTAGACACACAGAGTCTCTGCCACCTGCCTCGGCTACGATGAATACAAGGCGGATGAAGATTGCCGTGTAAATGTGACGGCTTTCTGAGCCAGCTATCTTGGTGTGTGTGGTGTAACTGTGTGGTTCGTGTATGCTTTTCAAGAGTGTGTGTGTGTGTGTGTTTGTTTTTTTGTGTGTGTGTCAGAAGAATTTTATCATTCGCATGTTTGTTTGTTTTAGAGTAGAACATTAAACTGCTGTCTGCCACAACAAGAGTGAGCGCAATGAGGACACTCATTGATCTGGACACTGTGAACAGAGTGTGTGTGTGTGTGTGAGAGAGAGAGAGAGAGAGAGAGAGAGAGAGAGAGAAAGTTAACTGTGTGGAATGGAAAGATGGATAGATTGCCTATTTGTTGCTATAACAACGGTTTGATTAAGGTCTAGCCGCTAAAAGAGGCTATTTAAAAATCCAATTTTCCATTAGTTTAGGCGCAAGAAAGCAAATAGTTAATTTAAATCAGGGTTGGAGGTAAGCACAACAGAAAGGCATAATGGATCATACATCTCAAGTTGAAGTTCAAAAAATCTTAATTATTCCCACCAGGGGCACTTAGATAAGAGCAACATGTTAGCAAGAAAAAAACAAGTACACAACTCAAAACACACACAACAGGCAACCAGGCAAGTGCACCATGAACCTGAATAAATAATAATAACATGGCAGTAGATTATGCAATGTACAATACAATAGTGCAAGAATCTTGATAGAGCGCTCTAAAGGTATGTTTTCCTAAACCGTTAGCTGCACAAGTCTGCTTTTGTTGGGTTCAAGATTCAGTGAAGGAAGCTCAGGAGCATTTAATGTTATGGACTTACATGTCATTTGTGTGACATATTGTGGGAGCCACAATACAATATTTAAACAAACATAAACAAAAAAATTAATAACACAATAGTGACATTTTTATAATGGCAACTATTACCAAATGCTACATGCTATGATGGCTCACTGACACCCCTAAATGTGTTTTGCCTTGTAGCATCATCTAGTGGATAAGTAAGGTCATAGCAGCTCAATAAAATAAAATAATAATAATAATATTAATGGAAGTGTTAAGTGAAATGGTTGCACACCACATTTGTGATTAAGACACTATAAAAATAAATAAAACATATAACAGGCATATAAAGTGATATATTTTCATAAATGTGTTACATTTATCTGACAAAATTAATTACCTTGCACTGTAGGCACAAACAGCCGATTTGCCAGTTCGTTTTAGGTCTAAAATGCGCACTAATAATTTAGAAAAGACAAACCATCAAGGCTGAAACAACACTTAAGTAGTGCATTAGCACTATACTGTGTATGGGTGCTTTGAGAATAGTGAAAGATTAATGCAGTGACATTTTCTTAGGTTAGATGTACTGTGACCTAAGAAAATGTCAGTGCAGACTTGGGTGACTCTTTGAGTGTATTAACCGTAGAACTGAAAAGAAAGATTTAAAAGAAGATTGTCCCTAATCACCTGTGAAACACATTCAGATACTTCCTTACTTTAGTTATATTTTAGAAGACAGTATATCTTTTTGAAAATCTAGGCTACTTAAACACTGAGCTTTGTAGGTTTGAGTAATGGTAAATTTAGAAATATGCTAATAACATTAATGACTGATGCATTCATTACATTGTTTATGTAGACTGAAAATTTAGCTTTTTCTTCCAGTTTTCCATTAGGGGTAGCATCATCCTTTTCTTCTCCAACAATGAGTAGCCTTGGGGCAGCTCATTACTGCTACTGTGGCTGAGGCAGCAACTGGATGTTAGCTGGAAAACAAACAAATTAAGATAACAAAGAACAAATAGAGAGAATGGTTATCTCTGGATGAAGGAGATTTACTGTAGTACTGTGTTATTCTTGCCCTTTATTCTTTTTATTTGCTTTTTATTTTATTTACTTTTGTGCTTTTTACAGAGTTAATATTATTCCATGTTTGGATTTCTGAAATATTTGGGTTTTAATCAAACAGTTTATATGGGCTCTTTCCAAAAATAATACGTGTACTCTATTGTGTGAAGAAACAATTTATGGCACAAGGATAGTTGGCAATAATACCAATAGTGCCACCATGTGGCCAGTGATAAAGCACTATACCTTTTGGCATACAATTCTTGTGCAGTCATTCTCACTTTGACCAAAGACCATTAAAGGGTGGAGTATGCATGAAATACAGAAGTTACCAAGATTTAATTTTGATTCTATGAATGAATCTGTGACACTATGAATACCCCCAGTGTTTCAATGGCATCAGTAGTTAAAGTAATCTAAAACTTATTTTATTCTTACTTACTTGTGGTAAATTCACCTTGGGGTGCCACTCCTAAAGAAGAGAAAATTGATAGCCAATTACCTAATCTAGTCTCATAAAATATACTAAACTATCAATTCGGACCTCTGATTAAAAATTTTATTAATAATTATAACCAAAATTACCAATAGCTAGTAGGTTAGCAATATATTCACTCTTATGCAATGTTAAAGAGATTCTAATCAAATGCTCTTTTTGTTTAAATTCAGTGAATATTTCCTCACGGTTCGCTACTTCTCTGTTTCAAAAAAGAATAGTGTTCCTATACAGTCTATGGTTTTCCTACACAGCCCTGGGTCTGTAAATGGAACACAAAGAAAGTGGTGTGGACCTTCCACACAACATTGTTCCAGCCAATCAGCAACAGGGGGCGGTAGTAAGCTCCAGCACATGAGTAGTGGGAGAGAGAAAGTCTAGACAAGATTATCTCCAGGCTGGACATGATGGATTAATTTTGGGACTGTAGGCACTGGAGAGATGGCTGAGAAGAAGGTGAGATGGCCGAGAAATAGCCAAAGAGGAAAATAAATTATATGATCAACCTAGTGCAATCTGTGAGGAGCTTCAATGCTGGAGAAACCTCAGAGATTTGAAAGGAATGAAAACCATAGCTGAGGTTGCTCAGTTTCTCCTGACAGCTGAGTTACATTAGCTTTGCAGTTACGAAACATAGGTCAGTACTGTCTTTTCCGTTTGTTATCATGTTTGTATTGCTAGCCACAAACATGACAAGTGAGCAAAAAATAACTTTGCAGTACTTGTTGTTTTTGTCCACTCTAATGTTACATGGTAGTATAAACATTTGTGAAGGGTTTTGTGGCCACAAAAAACTAAAATCAGTGTCACTTTTTGTGAACGGACCAATCATAGCCTGGATGGGACGGGACATCAAAAAAAGTTTGAAGCAGTACAGCAAACTTTAGAAATGTTGAACTCGTTGGTCTGCATGAATGTTTATTAAGTTAATACTTATCTAACCACCATGCATTTTTCTTGCCCAGTGATTAAATTAATGAAAACATCCCACAGAAATGAAACTGCGCTGGCCTATCGAAAAATGCTACCTTATGTGTTCCCATTTCCAATTGTGCAGGTTATGTCCCATAAATACACTGCTGCGAAAAACTAGTGATGTGTTGGTCGCGAACAAGTCGGCTCTCTGAACCGACTCTTTTAAGTGAACGATAGGAGCCAGGTCCCGTCTGAAAGCCACCCCATCTCCACCTGTGGAAATAGAAAGCATGACAATGAACAAATTATACTTATATTAATTACTTCTACTAATTGAAATATACAGTATGTGTCTGTATAGAGTTGTGTAATTATTTATCAAACATATTATTTCATTTTCATTATTCGGGTGTTATTTATGTTGTTTTACAACTAGTTATTCTTGACATACAGAATCACACTTTTTAGCCATCAATATGACAGAATATTTCCGTGTTTTGCAGATGAATGAATTTTGCAGAATGATTTTGCAGATTAATTTCTTGCAACAAATAAGAAAGTAACTTAGGCAGTTACCATATTTTTGCACAGACTGAAGCCCTAAACTAAAGTTAAACTAAGTTAAACTTTACATTAACCACCTGTATATTTAACCCTAATGTTTGCACATTGTTATACTCTGCATACTTACCATATGCTGTTCATACTGTACATACATCCTTACATTTGCACTCTCAATGTTCTAACTCTGTTTACTTCTCTTCTATACGTTTTTAATTCAATTCAATTTTATTTATATAGCACCAATTTATAACAACTGTTACCCATTGTGCTTTTCATATAGAGCAGGTCTAGACTGTGCTCTTTGTAATATTATTTACAGAAACCCAGCAAATCCCACCATGAGCAAGCTCTTGGCAAAACAGGCAAGGAAAAACTTCCTTTTAAGAGGCAGAAACCTCAAGCAGAACCATGGCTCAGGGTGTGTGTGTGTGTGTGTGTGTGTGTGTGTGTGTGTGTTCGGCACACACAAGCACAAACACACATGTTGCAGACAAAGAAAGCAAAATTTTCCATACAACCAGTGGTGTCACAAGAAAAGAAAGTTATCATCCATAGTGTGCATGTAGGCTACAGTGGTCCCTCATGCATGTCCTCATCTTGTGCCACGCAAAGATTTACTCACATATGCATGAATGCTAAAATAGGCACACATGCAATGCACCTCTCGTGTAAGTTTCAACATTCACACACGCAAATACACCAGTACACCAGTATATGATATATGAATGCAAATTACAGGATAGTATGGATCATAGAATGGAACCCTGGTGCAAATCATCAGATGCAACTCTCAAAAATACATATATTTTAACATGTCAACCTGCATGAATACTCTGTGAGCAAACACTAAGGCAATGCATTTCATTGGATATAATGTCCTTTTATCAAGGGTTCCAATGTTTCTTGAAAACACAACTCGCACAGTCACACAGTCTGGACGACATGATCGATACATCTTTGCCTACAGACCATTTTTTAAACCTGAGGGAAAACTGAACTGCTGTTCCAGAAGTTGAATTGAAATAACTAGCAGTTAGCACTACTATGTCCCATTCAAAGGAACTAAATTCTTTTGTATTGTCCATTTTAACTGTCCACAGATAGAATATGTGTCTTAATAATCCAGTCTATAGATCTGCTTTAAAACCTGCCATCTCTCTATCTGACTGAAGTAGACAATAAGAGGATATATTGTTCATTTTTTGACCTGATCAATGGCTGTATGTAATAGAAAACCATGCAAACAATCAACTGATCAGTATTTAGTTTGAAATGTTTTTTTAATTTTTTTATCATGAATAATATTGATTTCCGTGCTGTGATGATAGTGGCTTGATTTCAGAGAGTTTTGAAAGCTTGACTACATTTATTATGTCTTTGATGTATTAACAAATACTCATGCGGTCACTCTTTAAGAAATGTGTCTGGTGAGATCATAGATTTACCTGTTGGTAATATTACCCAGGTAGTGAAAATGTAGCAGGTCATTTTGTATGTGCAAATAAATGTAATGTTGTATATAGGCTACAGTTCCTCATTAGGGCCAGATGGCGTATGAAAGATTCAATAATCTCCCAGATCGCTGCCTTTTTTTAAAATTAAATTGGGAAATTAATCCTGTATATGGACACTCCCTGCTTTTACTATTTCAGATTTAATGGCATCATTGGATCATGTCTCATCCATGCTTGTAAGAACTTTTTATTAAACTGGATAAAGGAACTATGGACTATGAACTATGATAATATTTGTTTTGCTGTAAAACCAGCTTTGATATTTTATTTTGCTGCTATCTCATCAAAGGTCCCTCTGACCCCTCACACAGTAAAACACCCACAACCACACACATTTATAAACACACACACAGATTTAGAGGCATGATGTATGCATTTATCACCACCAGTTCTAATGGCACGACGAGAACTGTGATACAAACAATAACTGAATAAGGACACACAGACACGTTGGATTGTGGTCTATTCCTGTTTCTGACAGCTACACACCGGCTGGTTTTGTCTCAGCCAATCAGCAAATGGCTCACTGGGTGTTTCCTTTTGCTGCAGCAGGAGTTGAGCAGAGCAGGGCAGAAACAAATGACTGAAAAGGGGGAAAAATGAGAGAGAGAGAGAGAGAGAGAGAGAGATCAGACCACTTACTACAGTGATGTGAATTTGTTAACTGTACGTCAGACAGTAGAGCGGTGTCACACTGGAAGGACCAATAGGAGGCAGAGAAATGGGGCCACTTATGACATCAATGCTGGAATGGGATGAGAGTTGCCTGCATGAGGGAGCTTTCCAATGAGTAGACAGACGGACTGAGCATACAGTGATACTCCAGTCATCAGCTATACAAAAACACAACCCACATGCTTTCTGCTTCACAATCCGTGTCTTGCTCATTTTGAATGAGCCAAAAAATTTTCTCTTCTTATTCGCGTTGATGTGTATATACAGAACATAGATGCACATAGCTTGAAAAACATCCACAGATGGCGATTCCTGCAAAACATTAGACACTGTGGATATAGCATTTCTGCGTCGTAAATGTGCAGAAACCTGAGAAGAGATGCTCATTGTTCTTGGTAAAATCCCTCCTATGAAAATTTAAACCATTTCCCATACAAAACACATTCATATGAATGCATATGAATGGGTTAAGCATAATTGCGATGAGATGTCCTTTTTTCAACATAATACGCAGAAGATTCATATTTGGACATAGTCAGAACATTTCTCCATTGGTTATTGTTAATTATTGTACAGTTAAGGAGAAGTAATGGTCGAGAAGCTGAAAACCACTTAGTTAAGGATTGTGTAAAGTATCTATTTTTCTGCAATAGCCATTCAATGTCTATGAAGATTCTCAGTCATCCAGGTCATAGTTATCCAACGAAGGTTAAAATCAAGGGCAACTGGACTTGGTTGAAGATACTGGAAGACGTTTCGTCCCTCATCCAAAGGACTTCTTCAGTTCTGACTGACTGGCAGGGAAACTCAGCTATTTAACCTCAGTGGGGTCGTTGGCCCGGGTCATCGATACCGCTGGTTCGTTAGTGTTCATTGTTGCTGTGACGACAGTCGTTATAGTCGTTAAGACTACCTGTGGCCAAGACTGAACGACCATCGTTGGTATCTTCACCTGAGGCCAATAGGTTACGTTTGTTGAGTTTCCTGGGAAGTGATGATTTGGGGAGACTAAACAACCACTACACAAACGCATGGCTCAACACAGAAAGGCCAACTCCTCAGGTCAAGACTCTGCAGTCTACTTACATCTGAAGGACAGAGAACACTCGTTTGAGGACCACCAGGTGCACATTTTAGACAGAGAAGATGGATGGTTTGAAAGAGGTGTCAAGGAAGCCATCTACACCAGGGTCGAGAAGCCATCATTGAACAGGGGAGGGGGTCTACGCCACCACTTATCCCCCACTTACAATGCTGTCCTTTCATCACTTCCCAGGAAACTCAACAAACGTAACCTATTGGCCTCAGGTGAAGATACCAACGATGGTCGTTCAGTCTTGGCCACCGGTAGTCTTAACGACTGTAACGACTGTCGTCACAGCAACAAGGAACACTAACGAACCAGCGGTATCGATGACCCGGGCCAACGACCCCACTGAGGTTAAATAGCTGAGTTTCCCTGCCAGTCAGTCAGAACTGAAGAAGTCCTTTGGATGAGGGACGAAAGGTCTTCCAGTATCTTCAACCAAGTCCAGTTGCCCTTGATTTTAACCTTCGTTGGATAGCCATTCAATGCATTTACATCCTGTATATAATTTGATTTATAAAGGGTTTTTTTCCAATAATGGCGGAGTCTGCCATTACAGTGCTGGATTCAACTCAGTGTAATAACAATAATAATAATTATCCATCCATCGTCAACCACTTATTCTGCGTACAGGGTCGTGGGGGGCTGGAGCCAATCCCAGCTGGCATCAGGCGAAAGGCGGGGTACACCCTGGACAGGTCGCCAGTCCATCGCAGGTCCACACATAGACGAACAACCACTCATGCTCACACCTAAGGACAATTTAGGGTCACCAATTAACCTAGTCCACACCCGGAGAGAACCCACGCAGACACGGGGGAGAACATGCAAACTCCACACAGAAAGGCCAGGGCAACCAGGGTTTGAACCCACAACCTTCTTGCAACAGTGCTAACCACTGCACCACCACCAATTAATTCATAGTTCTGCATTGTAACATTCACTGTGACTGTGCAATAAACTTAACTACTTAAACTTAGTAAACCAAAGGTCTAACCTTGAAAGACATAACAACAGAAAAAACTCCACTCCACTGGACCAAAGCCACAGCTGTTAAACAGATCCACCTTGGAAGACTTCAGCGATATTTGATGGTTTGTTGAGCAGAATATGAAACCTTAAGGCCAATGTCTCTGCTCTAACTTTGAGATGTTTAGCGCATATGCACACAAAGAAAGATGCAAGACACACATGCATGTTTGTGAAATAGACACACTTGCACGTACATACTCATGAGGGACCATGGAGGAATCCAGGTAGCCAGATCATGTTTCTTTTCTCAACAAAGAACTTTCTGTGTCTTCCCCATAGACTGTATATGGTCTTTCCCTCACGCACATTGCTCATGCCATCCATATTCTACAGTTATGTTCCTCATCAAGAACAGTACAGAACAGAGTATTAGGTGTAGGTGATAATTCTACTGTGTAGTAAAGTGCAACATACTGAAACAGCATCAGGATTAAATAGATTATTGTTTGAAGAGTATATTAAATAGATACAGTATAGTTTATAAGATTTACATTTTGGTAAGTAGTTTGTTAACCTGCGGGAATTTCCTGATTTAATCTGGCAATATTACATCTAAAAATATTGTTTTGCTGGAGAGGCAAAATTTTTTTCTTTCTTCACTTAGTCCCCCTTAATGACCCCTAAGCCCCAGGTATGGCATGGACATGTGCGAACATCATTCATTAACACTGATGGACATGTGTACACACACTGTGTGTACCCTATACTAGGTAATTCAACAGTCCCAACACTGGTGATAGTAAAACTTTATTAATTCCAGAAAGGAGGATATAGTGTAACAAGTTCCCATTCGCAAGCACAAACACACTTTGTACATAAGCTCTGATGTTCTGAGACCTTCACTTTAGAAGAAAAGTGAGTCTCAGAAGAGATGGAAATCACAGACACCTTGTAATTACTTTTTAAATCCTACCTGTCATGTAGGGGTTAATAATGTGTTACTCCATTGCACGCTGGCAGTGACACTCAAACATGCTTTTCTGTATATCTTTGCACAAGCTGTTGTGATTGTTACACCCCCCTGGAATTTTACTGTACATTATCCTGCATTTTCATCGACTTTCTTTCTTGCTTTCTCACCCTCCCTCCTTCCCTCCATCCCTCCGCTGCTGTAAACCCACAGCTCCTATGGGAAGGTGTTGGGACGATAAGAAACAGACAGTCTGGAAAACAGGGAGAGGCAGGAAGGGAGTGGGGGAGTGGAGTAGTGGGGCCTTGACAGCTGTGTCTAGTGCTTTATTCTCTTTCTGTTTATGATTCCCACATGTTCATTATAAAATCCTGTTTTTTGGAGGTACACATGCACACAGACACATGACGCACATACATGGGTAGAAAGTAAAATTTTTTGCATATCTGTATTTTATTTGGGAAACTCATGACTTTTGCTCTACTACAGTTGAAAGACAAATATTGTACTTTTGACTCTCATTTCTTGTTACTTGGAAGGGTTGTTTTGAAATCAATATACACATTTCCTTTTCTAAAATATAAGGGCCCTGCATCATGATCGTCACAGGAGAAAACTGTACCTACGTCGTCAGTCAAGTTCATAGTGCTGCATTATTTGAACAGTTCAATTTGAACTTGGCACTGGTAATGATGGCTACTGCCGATAAAGATGATGATTCCTCACCAGAGCACCCATGGCCGTATCTGAAGTCTGACAACTGTAGTATTGATAAGCTCTGATGTTACTGGTCCTTTTATTAGGTTTTGGTGTAATTTATTACCACATTACAGCCTTTCCCCATGACTTCAGTGAACAAGCTCTGATAAACCCATTGTACACCACCAGGCCCGCCCACAGAAACGATTGGGCCCCTGAAAAGGTTCAGTGAATGGGCCCACCCCAAATCTGCTTTAAGCTACTCATATCATGCATGTGTTCTCTCTCTCTCTCCTACATTAACACATATATTTAACTGAGAGACTTACTCAGTGATGGGGGCTCCATAGGTACACACACACACACACACACACACACACACACACACACCCACCATCCCCAACGTTAACAAAAGATCTGCTACACTTACACTACCCATTTCTCGGAAGGAAATGCAGTTTCTTACCTTATGGTATCATATCTGCCTCTTATACAGCCATCTTCCTTGTCTTTCTGGATGCAAAGTCCTTTATAATGTCTTTAAAGTCAATCTGTTTAGCCAGTTCACACTCAATTGCAAGTATTGCCAGGTTATAGTCACTCTTGGCTCATTGTGGAGCGCAAGTAATTCTTTATTATTTTTAGTTTACTGAAAGTTCTCTCTCCTCCTGCCACAGTTAATGGTAAAGTGCAAAATATCCTTAGTGCAATGCAAACGTCACTATAAATGCTCTCAAGCTTCAAGTCATAAATCCTGTTGAGCAACTCCAGGGGTGTTGATGATCCTGAGAATGTGGCACTGTAAATCCTTTTCAGATGGAGCATTTGTTTTTCCAAATCTTCAGATAGATCCTTGGAATATTTTGTTATCAAATGTCTACAAGATGACTTAAGATCCTCCTCACTCAACTGCTGGAACTTGAGTATTCCCCTGAAATCATTGCAGATGTCCTTGATTGACTGAAATCTGGAATTCACCTGTGTAATGATAGTGTCCACTGCAATATAATACACAGAATTCCTAAATGTTACATCAGGAGTCTCCTGTGCATCTGACGTTTCTTCAGTGCGCTGGCGCTTCTCTGTCTGCTGTGGGGGAACTCAGGTGGGATACCCATTTTTGAGCTTCAGCAAGCATTGAATCCCACTTATTTCTCAAAGAAATTATTTCCTGCTGTAGAGCTTCAATGTTTGCTGCTTCCTGATCCAAAGATAGGCTGCCACTCTGCAGAAGCAAATTCCTATCTTCCATATATTCTAGTATTTTTAGCCAGACGGTGCATATGACAAACGCTGTGAATGACATGAAATATTCTCTCAGTCCTCGCGCATCTGATAAGGCCTCGTTAGATAATTTACAGGACGATATTATGCAACCGATTGCTTCAATCACATTGGGGAGGTGGTGAGCAATAGGTCTTACCGCTTCAATTCGCGCATTCCATCATGTGTCACTCAGTCGGTGGAGTGAACATCCTGTCTTTTCCTTTAACACAGACCACCAGTCTGGACTCACGCTAAAGAGTGTGTAAAGGCGATTGACACATCCGAAATAAGTTGGCATTTCCTTACATGACTGGACAGCATGTAAACCTACTAGATTCAGTGTATGCGATGCGCAGGGGGAAAATGTGGCCAAAGGATTTACTTTGATAATTTAGGCTTGCACAGCATTAACTTTTCCCGACATATTACTTCCGTTATCATACCCTTGTCCAAGGCAGTCAGTGAGGTCGATTCCATGCCTTTGGAGAGATTCCTCTATCATGCTGGCAATTTCTTTTCCTGTCTTTTTTGCAAAGTCCACAAACTCAATAAAACGTCTGTTTATTGTCCATCCTTTGCCGTGTGCATTATCGTTATACACGTATCTCAGAAGCAGAACATTCTGCTCAACATGTGATATATCTAGGGTTGCATCACATATTATAGAGAAATACTGTATATTGACTGGAGTCTTTCCCCGAGAATGTTGTTGAGAGCGTGATTTCCACACAGTTCAATGAATTCATTCTGCAAGTGCCCTGGCATGACAGAATCATATTTTGCAATCAGCTCGAGTAACACTAAAAAAATTCCATTGTGAACATCACCAAACTCGCTGGTGTCCCCTCTGAAAGCTAAATTTCTAGATGCCAAAAAGAGCGTTACATCTAATAATCTCTCCAACAAAGCCCTGTTTTTCCCCCCACTTGCGTTTGGAACTCCTTTTGAAACTGGCCATCAACACCTGTGCCATGCATCAGGTAATGCTGGAGATTTTGCCACTTCCAGTAGCAGTGTTTATGTGGGCTGCTTTTTTCATGCTGTGGTAATTTACTGTAGAGTTTTTGCCACTTTGTTGTAGACGCCCTAAACCCCTCTCAGCTATTAAGAGCACTTGTAGACTTCTAATTCGTCAGAAAAGAGAATGCATGGAATACAGTACAATGACTTGTTACATTCGCTAATAAATAGCCAGTCTCTTGTCACTTTCTCACATCCATTTGCTGCTTTAGTATGAAAAATACTCTGGGAAAGGCCTGCCTTCAGAATCTTTAACTGACATACCTTGTAACAAAGTAATGCTGTCAACACCTGTCAATGCTCTAACAATGTTGTCTCTCTCTACATTGTTAAGTCTTTTGGGCCATTTTCCTGGATCGGTGTAGCTCCCAGGATCGGTGCCGCTCTCACAGTGTTCTTGGTTCTGATTCCATAGAAGTAGACGCAACAACATCATTATCAGTGCTCCCCACAGATGTTGCCGTGGGTTCAAATCCTGGGGTCGGGGTTAAATGCAGAACATCTTTGCTATTAGCATCATCCTCTTTCTCATAGGTGGTGGTGGCTCCTTCGTTCAAAATGCTGTTACATTAGCCTCCTGGCTATTGTTAGCCGGACTGGGAGCAGCTTTCTGAACCGACTCAAAAAAGTTGGTCAATACATTATTATTTGGGTCTAAAGCCCTTGCTAGCTCCCTCTTTTTCTTCTTTCTTTTCTGGCACCCCATTTATGTGCAGGCCCTGGCATAGCAAGGAAATTCACTCCAACATTAGCTAGTAATTTTCTCAGGTCACTTGCGCTGCTGACCGCGAAGCACTGACGTTTTGACGTTGCGTAGGCCTACAACAAAAAATTGCCTACTCATACCCTTTTCAGGAGAGGGGGGGTTTCATTATGACACAGGCTACATTTTGCTCAAGCAACATTAAATAAAATAATTTTTTTTCTCACAACAAACAGTGGTGCTATTTTGGTTCAAAGTAAAATATGGTAACCTTTGCTTATATTTAGGATTAAATTATTGCTGTACTGCATGGGCCCCCCCTAGCGGCTGGGCCCCAGAAAACATTCCCCTTTATCCCCCCTTATGGGCGGCCTTGTACGCCACCTGCCCAGCACCAAATGAACCTTGAGAAGCATTTAGCAGCTAAAGAGACCTACCTTGTACATAAGCTCTGATGTTCTGAAGATTTGATGAGAACCAAAACATAGCTAAAAGGAGAGTGAATATTGGACTTAGATTAACCGGGTGGTCAGAAACTCCAAAACACTGCTAATGTTGCTCCATGTCTACTTGATGTCTCAATAGTAAACTGTTTGCTAACATGTTCACAATAAAAACATAAGTGATAAAATGATAACAGTTCATGTGTTTACAACTTCCTCCACCTCAAGTGGAAAGATTGATCAAATACAAAATTAATTCAGCTAATGCATGACACTGGAGAGCTGACTTACTGTTCAGGGGATTTTAATCCAACACACAAGGCAAGACAACCGGTATGAACAAAACTCGCGGGTTGTGGAGACAGGCAAAATCCAAAATGCAAAAACTGGCAGCGCCAAAACATGCAGAAAACTCATCATTGAACAATGACCAGACAAAGACTGAGGGAAACAAGCAAGCATATATATATACATATATATATACACACAGGGTTAACGAGATGGGAGGGGATACACAGGTGAGAGACATGAGAATAACGAGACAGAGTCAGGCAGAGAGACAGCAGGGGAGACTAGCAGGCAGGCAGGTTGCTTAGGGGGAACAGACATAACAGTAGTCACTGAACACTGAACATGGACCATATCAAAGTAAGTAGTTACAGATCAGAATAACAAACTAATCCAGACACCAGCAGACAGATCACAAATAAACTAACACCAACAAGGAACACAGACTGAGGCTAAGACTTAACAGAACCAAGAGGAGACAGAACCAAAATAACGCAAACACACAACTCGGAGTATATGCAAAGACAACTAAGGCACAGAACTCTAATGTAGGGCTAAACCTAAGATACCGGACAGACAGGTACAAAGTTAGCTAAACAGGACCTACAACTGAATAATGAAATAAGCAAGGGTAAACAGAGGACACAAGACAATAAACAAAACTCGGAAACAGAAAACAACATAACGGGGCAAGGCAGGACTGAAACTTGGATAAGACAGAACACCAGACAATTACAGAATAAGACAGGAACTAAGGCAAGCACAGATAAAAACCAAAAGACAGGCAACAGTAAATAAACTAACGCTGGGCAGACTGAACACAAGACAGGACTGAACACCAAAACACACAGACCTTAATGACAGATGCAGAACTGACAAATAAGCAAACTCACAGAGAAACTCAGGACAGAATCGTGACAGTGTTTTGTTTGTTTTTGCCTCTTAATGTCCTGAGAGAGACACCTGCTACCTTGACAATATAGTCATCAATTTTGTGTATTATTGTGCTGTGTATGTGGATGCATTTTCTCTTTCCATTACACCTTATTAGATGTAACATCCCAACTCTGTTTAAAATGACTTTCAAGGGTCTTTCTCCTCACCTCTCAGTGATGTGGATGCCTACTGCTGGGTTTATGGCTTTACAAATAAGGCAATTACATGTGTTTCCGGGTATGCCTGCACACTGTGAGCCAGTGTGACACCGGCACAATGGGCCAATAATGGTTCTCTTGCTGGGCAATAAGCCCATAAGGATGATGACTAAATGGGCCAGGCTTTTCCTTATGCCTTGTCTCCACTTGCTTGCTCTCTCCGTCTCCTGTTTAGTGTTTCTATTCATCTGTACATCCAGCCTGGATATGTGTAGCCTACATGTGCATATAAATATGCACACATGTATGTAATTGTATGTAAATATTTTTAGAAAAAAGATTACCCTTGTATTACATTCCTGTATGTCTGAGCAGCCCAGCTGACCTTTTTACTGGAATCCTGCAGATTCATATAAGTTTCAACTTGGCAATTTCCAGGTCAGCTGGAATGTAGTTCATCTGTCCCGCATTTCCTCCCAATTGGTTGTCCCCTTTGTATCACCACAGGGAGCCTCTTGTCAATTGCCTGACCAACAGAAACACAACAGCAACCCTGCAGGGAAAAATCAGTTGGGCAGACTGTATCCACAAGCTTTAATTATTTTGGTCACAACATGGCAACACTGTAGCCACTGCACTTAATTGGCGATTCATGTCACAACATGAATGTCACTTGAATAAATAAGGTTATGCTTTAAAATAAGTAGTTTGTATAGATTGTTGTCCACCCTGTTGGATTGAAAAAGTGTTTACAGCTGTTTCAAAAGGCCACACACTGCAAGGCAGATTGAAAAGCCGAGCCATCACAGAGAAGGGGGCAAACCCGGTAATCACTGAAATATGTGAATAACAGCACACATTTCAGACAGTCTGCTGGAAGATATTCATAGTGATGCACTCTGTTGTTCACAGGAAAAGTGACAGAAGTAGTTGTGTAAATAATGAAACAAAAGGTTTAACGATAAAGTGGAAAAACCCTGTCAACTTTCTCAGCTCATTGAGTGTAATTGTTGGATTGTTGCATTTGGAATTTGTTGGAAAAGTGGGGGGCCCGAGTTGTTTTCCGAAGCTATTCTACCTTCCAACAAGCACTTCAGTTCAAGCATGTTGGGCCCCAAAATGTTTCTAAGATCACAAAGTCCTCTACTCGGGATAGATATTCCCCTTCCCTGGGAGGAGAAAGCTCCTGCCTTCTCATGTCAGCTCTGGTCTTTATCTTAACTGTATCTTAGAGATCTAAAGCCACCCTTATGTCACCAAACTGAGTAGTCTGCAGACCTTAGCTGCCCCATATTATGACAATCAATGTCATAAATGAAAGAGAGGATTAGACTATTTAAAAATTCTGATTCAAGATTGACACCTTGAACGTGCTTGAGGTTGTGCACAAATTACCAGGCTAGAGTGTGCATTATTTATTTGAAATCTATTTCAAATCAGAATTTGACCAGATTAAGAATAAAATGTTTTTTTGCAACAGAGACATCAGGTTCTGTAAATGTTCTGTAGAGAGTAGTTGCATATGACTGATGGTATATAGAATTATGTGTCTTCCTTCCAGAGTGTTACAAACTGGCTGTATGATGGAATTCAGTCCTCCGCACATATGCATTTCAAAGCTCTCATTTCAAAGTGTTGACCATCAAAGCTCTTCTTGCTTCTAAAGTGTTTGGTTTTTAAAAAAGCTGTTGTTGTCATAATGTATCATAACCAGTCCCATTCTAGCATTGCTTAAAATCTGATCCACTGTGGCAGCATTTCCCACTTTTGTCTTAAAATCAGCTAATTTAAAACATCCGTAGGCCAGTCATATACAGCAGTGTTATTGGTAGCTGTCCAGAATAGAAAGTGCTGCAGAAGCTTAACCACTACACTGTCCCTCAGGAATGGTTTCTATTTCAGTGTAAGAACACTGTCTGCCAATGTATATGGATGAGGTGATCGAAGGGGAGTTGTAGAGGAGAGAGACAGGAATATTTTATCCCAGGGCAAACCTGCTTGGCAAGTCCCTCTGGCTGTTAAGCTTTGATAGTCTTGTGTATCCTTGATAGGAATGCTTAGAGCTGAACAGAATATATGTATTATTTGGTACAGTACAGTAAGAGAGGTATAAAATATCAAAAAGCCCAAAAAGAAAAGTAGGCCTATAAGTATACTCTTATATGTTACAGTGTGAGGCAACCCCCATAAATTCCTGCTCCACTGTAGCCAGTGGTGGAAATTGCCACATTTTATTTGGGGAACCATTCTCAGGTGGGATCCAATAATGGGGAGGGGGTCACATCAAAATTAAGGTAATCGATAAATAAGTTTTTGGATTCATTATTATTACTTCAAAACAGTCAAATCATCTGGCTTTTCTCTGTGGAAGTTGCAGTCGGACCCCTATGTACTAGAATCTTTGCAAAAAGAAACTAGTTGATGCAAATAGATTTCCGTAGAAGGATTGTAGTGTCCCTCAAACTCTGTACTTGCAGAGGAATTAGTAATAGCTTTCTGGAGCTATTTGCTGTCATTGGTTTGTATTCCAGCATTCTGTATCTTATGTTTATAAAGGGATAAGCATGAGTATGAGCTTTGGTCTATGTGTGTGTGTTGGTGCATCTGTTTGTTTATGTTAGCAGTGTCAGTGAAGTAGAGTAATGAGTGGTAACGTGCTGTAAATGCAATAGTGCCATGTAGGGAGGGTTAGACATGTGTGAGAACCAGAGGATAACAGAAAAGTCAGTGAGGTAAGACAGATGAGGACAGGGAAGGTTCAGCATTGTAAAGACAGACATGGAGGCTTGGACTGCTGGTCTGAGCTGGCCAGAGTTCATTGAATGAAACTGAATTTACAACGCAATTAGTTCGGTGAAAGAGAGAACCTTAAAGGTTCCGTCTGTAAGTTCTAGTGACATCTAGTGGTGAGGGTTGCGCATTGCACCCCTACCCCAGGGTTCTTGCACCATTTTAAAAGTGGAATTTAATACTTTTTAAGACCTTTTAAGACCTCAACACACATAAATTTAAGACCTCAAATCTTGGAACAATTTCTTTGATAAAAAAGAGACGCGCGTTTGATATCAATCTTTTTATATACAGTCTATGGACGCAATGCCATATTTGGTATTTTTGTTTTCACCACAGGTGAATGACTTTGCATATTCCGAATCGGGTAACATAGAGGCTGTTTACAACTGGCATTAAAATGTATTTTGGGTGATCTGATTGTGATCGGGTAGCACTTGACCACATGAAAGTACATGTGTAAATGCACCCAATACGCATTGAGGACAGATGTGATCCAATCAGCAAAACGACCTCTGGAGGTGGTCAGGGACACCATGACCACATGGATGCAAATGCGTTGTCTATCCACATACAACAGCGATGTACCAGTCGCAGTCTTCTGCAAGTAAAATACAACAGTCTGACAGTGCAGACAGGCGCCTAAACAGTATGTCAATGTTGTGCATAAACATGCTCAAACAGTGCCGATTATTGATCATGCTCACGTTTTTGGTGAACTGATCGTGTCTGTGAACGTGAACTAGGGCTGGCCAATAAAACAATAATGATAATTGTCGCGATACAATCTTCCTCAATAACAATATAACAAATGTTCAATAGATATTTGATTTAATTCATTTGCATCCCAAACGAATTAGCACTTTATTTTATATAAAGATATTTATTGTGTTGAGGACAAGGGACTGAAAAAAGATTGTACTTTATTTTTCTCATGCATATTTGTTGTTTTGAATGTTCTACCTTTGATACCAGGCTGCTTTTTGGCATCAAGTATTTGTCATGTTCTGACCATAAAGAAAAGTTTAAAAGCACAATTAACCATCTGGCTTCTTTAACTTGCACTCAGGAACAAAAATCACCTTCTGAAGTTATAATAACAACAAGATTAAATAATTATTTTACTATTTTTGAAAAGAAGAACCTTTAAAGAAAGGTAGCAAGAAAACGATGCCAGACCAAGTTTCACTTTCACTTTCTGGCAGAGCTATTACACAGGTGCACTCGAGCGGGAAGCTTCCGGC